AGAGAGCTCCATCAACATTAAATAGCACCAGGCTTAGCTCTGCACACTCCCCGCCCCCTTACCCTTGGCCTGGCCCCACTCACCCTTGTGGTCTGACAATAATCTGGCTGGCTGTCAAGACTGCAGGGCAGGAGAGCAGCAGGGAAGTAGGCTGGGAGCCTCAGGCAAGGCTAGCACCCTCCCCACCACTGGCTCCCCAGAGGTACACACAAACCCGTTGGTATGGAACCAGCGAAGGGCTCTCCCTAGAGGAAGAGACTCCAGGTGCCAGGCCCAGCAGGCTCCCAAAAGCCAGTGGCACCTCTGAGAGCGCCCCGTCCATCCCTCTACCCAGTGACACACACACCCCCACCCGCTTCCCCACATACCTCCCTTGCCCTGGATCCACACCAGGGGCACACCTGTCCCCTCCCTACCACTCCAGCTGGCACAGATCAGAGACCCATTCCCATATGGGGTTATCTCTTCAGGTTATGCTCTGAGGACAGAGACTGCCGAGCCAGCTAGCACAGTGCCATCCCCCCAGCACACAGAGAGGACTTCAACATATGAGGACTTGTCTTCTCTTTAAGAAACAAGGTTGGGGGAAGAAATGAGAAGTCCAAATGTCTCTACCCCCACAACCTGAGAGAATAAAACTTTAGGGCCTGCAGGAACCTTAGGACAGCTGGTAAAACCTTAACACAGGAATCCCCCCTTCTCTCTGCAGCGCCCCCTGCTTAAACATCGCCGTGGCTGGGTGACAGACTGCATCACCAGGCCAGCCCTGCAGCTGATGGACAGCTCCTCCCCAGGCTGAGAGGAGCTGCATGTCCTTGTCATTTCCACACACTGGTCCCCAAGGTGGCATGTGTATGTGCCAAGGCTCTCCACCGGGCAGTCCCCCGCGAGGCCAAAGCCAGCCAGCCTTCGAGGCATGTGTCCCCCCAGCCAACATGCCCTTCAGCCCTCCCTCCGGAGGCAGGATCCCCTGGGCCCTCCTGAGAGGAGCCTGATGTCCAGGAAAGGTGTCCAGGAGACTCGACATACCCTCCCCCATCCTCTGGGCACAAGGAGGTGACAGAGAAGGGCCCAAGAAACTCTAAGTAGGGACACCACATAATTTACCTTCCAAACCAGGACATTTTTACCACGGTAAAAGGGCAGTATTTACTACAGCAGGAAAACAGGCCCAAACAGGATGGATGGCCACACTAGCTCAAGGTCACTGGACACATGTCATGTCCCTCATTTACCCCATGGGGAATGCCACTGAGACTCTGAGCTTTCAGCAGCCAGCACACATTCCGGGCTCATCAGGACCTCGATGTACTACTTCCAGTGAGGGGCCAGGACAGATACACAGACGCCCAGAGGCCACCACGATATACTTGCCCCCATGCTGTACCACACTTACCCCAGTTAAAAAATACTTGCATCCCACACTTGATCCCCTACTGTACACAGGGTTCTGTGGTTAACGTGAGGAGGACGGGGCAGTCAAGCTCCGGTGGCCTGCCCACAGGGAGCTTATACTCCAAAAGGGTCAGAGAAGAATAGACACAAAGACAAGCCTGCATGGCCTTGACAGTCCTCAGACACACGGTACGTGGCTCATGCTGCCGCTCAGGACTCACGGCTCACAGCCGGGTGAGTAAGCGGCCGGTTCCACGGCTCAGACCTTAGTGTCAACAATCGCCATCCCCTCCCCAACCCAGGCACACACCCAGCCATGGGACCCAGCAGACTAGAGCCAGGTCAAGACGAAAATGAGGACCATCTTTTCAACCCCGCACACCCTCATTAATTTTCTCCCAGCCACTGGCTTCTCCGAAAACAGCCACTTTTTTCCTGGTTGCTGTGTGCCCAAAAGATTGCTTCAGGCCTCTCCGTGGGGCACCAGTGCCGCGTGGGAGCACTAGAGGGCGCTGCTGCCCTTTCCAGTGAGGAGCACCCAGCAATCTGCACTGGTAGCCCTGTGGGGCACAGGCACCCAGAACCTTTGGCCTGTGGACACACCTCAGAGCCCCGAAAGGGACCTGCAGCTACCTTCAGTCACTCCGGTTCTGGGTGTCTGACTACAGCTTCCCGCCACGGATTAGTTCACTTCTCATTCTCTCCTCAAAAGCCCAGAGCAAGCCTTCTAGGCGAGGGCCAAGTGTTGTTTGTTTCTGGCCACCTTCCTGGCTCTGTCAAGGCCCAGGGCCAGGGTGATGCTGACAGGCTCAATGACCAGGTCTCGAGCCTATCCAGGCCAGCCCACTTTACCCAAAGAACCCCTCGCCCCTGCAGCTACACCCTCAAATGAGCCCCTGGGAGGGGAGGGATCCCTGGATGCCCTCCATCCTGCTGAGGACAAGCTCAGAATTCAAAGAGAAGGGCAAAAACCTCAGCTGCCTTACGGCCAGCGGGGACCCAACTTGACTCTGAAGGGCAGTTGGGAGACATGGAGACACAGGAGAAGGAAAGCAGGGACTGTAAGCAAGAGTGAGGACAACCCCAACGTCACTCAAAGTCTGGCCTGCAGGGGTCTGAGCCCAAAGCCTGGGCACATGCACAGAAAAGAGCTCACGGGAGATGTCTGCCAGCGTCTATCTGTCCTGGAGAAGGCCCTGAAATGATCCACAGACATGCTGAGCCGTGGTCTATGTTCCATCTGACCCAGGCCCCCCCAGCTCCTCCCAGCAAATGCTCTATCTGGGCCTCCTGACACCTCCCTCCGCAGGACCACCCACAAACCTAAGCCATCAGAGGGCAGCAGGCCCATCCCCTTCTTGCCCATCTTCCCTCGGCTACAGGTGGCCAGCAGATCCCCTGGGATCTGATGAGCAGGGGCTGGGTCACAGGGACAGAAGCTGACGTACCCAGAAGGGGAGGCAGAGAGTGGCATCAGCCAGAGACTGAGCCACTCCACTGGCCCAGCTGCAAGGTGTACGAGAGGCGCCAGGAGGCCAGACCCGAACCCAGAAAGGCCTGGCATTTCTTTCCCCACCCCTCTCAGTGGACCCGAATTGCACAGGGAAAGAGAAGAACCAGGACCACAGGAGTCCTCTCCCCACTGCTGGGGAGTGGCTATGGGAGCCTCTCTCTGGACCCTTCCTCACATGCCCAGCCTTGGTGCCTCACCTCCTACTCACAGACCTGTCAACAGGAGCAGGGCAGGCTGACTGAGAGCAGAAACAGCTGCCCGGCCACAGACGCTCCCTGTCCAGGGCCAGCCCCAGGCCCTTGAAAAGTGGGGACGTCTGTTCCCTGGACCCATGTCTGGCGGCCCTCCCTGCTCCCTGCTGGACAGTGCAGCAGCCTCAGATGGTCAGAGCTAGGAGGAGACAAAGGGCCGGGATGGTGGCCGGGGCTGGGATACTGCAATTCGGTCATCTGAATGACCAAATGTATACTTCTCGTGTGTATGGGTCTTCGTCCACAGTTTCTGGCTCAAGGCTTCCAAAACCCTTGGAATTTCCTGAGTAAGAGCATCTTTTAATGTCCCTTGTCCTCCCTTCCTGAAATGCTGCAGAGCAGGAAGAGTGAAATGGGCGTCTCGTGATTCGTAACAAGCCCCTTTCCACCACAACTGGGGTTTGTGTTGATGAGGGGACTTTTTAGAAAGCCCCTGAGGACCCTAAGGCTGGTTGCCAGGGAAATCAAGTATGAACAGAAGGGTGGAGCTTTTTCCTCATTTCTGCAGAGGAGAGGAGCTGGAAGGTGAACTGACCACCAACGGCCAATTACTTAATCACTCGCACCTGTGCGAGGAAGTCTCCGCAAGAACTCCAAAGGATGGGGTTCGGGTGCTGAACACGTGGAGATGCAGGGGGAGTGGGGTGTCTGGAGAGAGCACGGAAGTCCTGTGCCCCTTCCCCAGACCTTGTCCTGTGCGTCTCTTCTACCAGGCTGCTCCTGAGTTACAGCCTTTTATAATAAACCACTGAAAGCAAAATGTTCCTTAGTTCTATGAACGAAGCAAGCAAATGAATCAAACCTAAGGAAGGAGGCAGTCACTAGGACCTCCGATCTATAGCTGGCTGGTCAGGAGCACAGGTGACAACCCGGACTTTCCACAGGCATCTGAAATAGCCAGTTGGGGGTAGGGGTGGGGTGTCAATCCTGTAGCTCTGAGCCTATGTGGGGTCCAAGGCGTCTCCGGGTCAACAGTGTCAGCACTGAGCTGAACTGCAGGGCACCCAGCTGGTGTCAGAGATCGGCTTGGGCATGTGCGAAACCAGTCCCCACAGTGGAACTGGGTGCAGAATCCTAGTTAGTATTAGGACCCTCTTGAGAGCTCTGCCAGGGCCTGAGCTCAAGGACTCCTACATCCCTTCCGAGGGTGAGACTCAGCACATTCAGAACACAGCAGCCATCCTCAGCTTGCTATACCCCAAGAGCAAGAGATAACAGAGGGCCAGAGCCCCAACAGTGTCCAAGGACAGAAGGTTGGTAGCAGATTTTAAGGGAGTTGTCTATAGCCCCTCGCCAGGCCAGGGGCACAACTGAGTGTATGAAGAGAGGGGTGGGGGCATCAGTGACTTGATGGTATCTCTCAGAGGGATGGGGTCACAGAGCCAGCTGGGGCAGCTGGGGTGGGGGTGGGGGGTTGGAGGTATAGGCCCCGTCCCACCTCTCCACCTGCCAAGGCTTCCTGACCTTGAGGCCAGAGGGCAAGGGGTGGAGGCTGGGAAGCAAAGAATTGACACAAGCGGCCTTCCCTGCTTTTCTCCCCTTCCTCCCCCTCCCTCGGGGGCAGGTGTGCCAACTGGAGACGGGAGACCATGAGGAGACGGGACTCCTCATTCCATATGGCCCCCAGAGCGCTGTGCCCTTGCGACTTACCTGTGTCCATGTGCCAACAACGAGCCTCAGCCTGGGGAAGTGGTACCCCCCACCACTCAACCATGCGAAGCCAGAGCCACAGCAGCCTGCCCAAGGGCCCCATCAGCTCCAAACTCCCTGCCCCAGGATCCAGGCTGCAAACACCCCAGCATGCTCCCCGAACAGCAAAGCTGCTTTTGCCAAGGACATACCTGGGTTTCTGAGTTGGTTCCTTGGCTTCTCTCAAGCCAAACCAGCTACTCTTGGCCTTTTCCTCCCCGCTGGATGGGTGGTGTGGGGAGGCCCCCAGGGTGGGACCCCCCTTCTCCCCCAGAGAGCCGCGGCGCCCCAGCTCGCTCCGACTCAGCCCCTGGTGGTGATGGTGGAAGAGACCCATCCGGGGCTTCCGCTCCTCCTTCCGGGCTCCCTCCTTCTCGGCCACAGCCTCAGAGGAGGCCACCATGGGCGTGGCAACCTGTACGGGCTTTCCCTCAGGGAGCAGGGCCCCCTCCTCCTCTCCAGAGCGGTTGGTGCCAGGGACCAACACTTTGGCCCGAGAGCTCAGCTCCTCCTGTCCTGGCAGCACCTCTGAGATGCTGGTGCGGCGGCTGCCTCTGCCCCCAGAGTCATCTGCAGGCCGAGCCCCCTCCTCAGCGGGCCGGGGAGACACGCTATGCAGAGAGCCGGAGGGTGGAAACGGGCCCGAGATGGAGCTGCGGTGCCGTGGGAGTGCCGGGGGCTCCTCATTGTAAATGTGGCTCCCGTTGACGCATAGGGAGGAGCGGGAGGCAGTCTCCAGGTGGCCCTGCAGGTCCAGGAGGGATCGGGGCGGCGTCGCTCGCATCTGGCTGGCCTCATCGCTATAGGTCCTTTTGTGGGTGAGCAACTTGGGGGACTGGGTGGCGTCCCTGCCTGAAAAGGAAGCACCCATGAGTGAGCAACAGGGAGAGCAGCCTGGTTCCTGGCCCGGGCCCCCCCAACCCTCATCTGTCCCCCAGCGGGGCAGGGCCCTTGCTCACACACCTCCTTCGCTGGACAGCCAGCTGCTGCGGCTGGGCGAGCGGGTCAGGAGCTCGGCACCCGGGCCCTGGTAGGCCAGGCTCCCGCTGGCAGAGGACAGGGTGCTGTCCGAACCCAGAGAGGTGCTGGACTGCGTCAGGGAGGACTTGCGCAGCTTGTTACGGAGGAAGAAGCCTTTGGCTTTGCCCATCTTGCCCAGGCTGCCCAGCTCGGGGTCCTCCAGGGCACTGCTTGGGAGGATGGCCGAGGCAGACTCCAGCTCAAACTTCTTCTTGCCCTTCATCTTGTCCTTGATCTTGCTGAAAGGGGACCGCGGCTTGTCCTTCATGGACAGGTCAAACATGCTGGCGCTCAGGTTGTTTCGAGTGAACTGGATTGTGACTTGGATCTCTCCGCGCTCCTTCTCCTTCTTGCCGGCCTTGGAGTGCAGCTTGTACCACCTGGAAGAAGGGGGGCGGGGTGGAGCTCCGGTCAGGTCACGGTCAGGGCCCAGGCAGCCCGCCCTCCCCTGCAGGCATCCCTCACGGCCTCTCCCCCACAACCCAGGCCTGGCCTTCTGAGTCACAGGCAGAGCCGAGAAAGTGTCTACATCTTGTCCGTGTTGGGGAAAACCACATCCTGAGCAGGGGAATCTCTGTGGTGCTACTGGGAAGGGCCACAGTCACCATTCCATGCCGCCCTCCCATCCCCCTTCCTGGGGGCTCAGAGATCTCCCCGCTGCCCCTCCCTACTCCATCTGAAATTCTGAGGCCCAAAGGGGTGAGGCTGGGTGTGGGAAGAACTCTTAACCATCCAGGCCCCTGGGGTAGACAGACCCACCCACATTTCTCCCTGTTTACATCATCTCCTTGGGCTCATCCCAGCCAAAGCTCTGCTCTGAGCCACCGGTGAGTCCAGGAAAGAACAGCGCATCAGAGGCACAGGGCTGGAACACCAGCCCACATGAACACACACCTCACTCACTCACGGACTGGTCCACACCCCACCAGGAACACCTCTGCACACAACGGCATACAGGGGCCTCAAGTAAGAGACCTTGGGGGGTGGGGGCAAGGGCACTCACATCTGCTGAGCATCTCATGTGTATCATGATGGACTACAAGGGTCTTCACTCCCACGTACACACAACAAGCCTTGGGGGTCAGAACCGTGACCCTGATTTATACAGCAAGAAGTCAGGGCTCAGAGGTGAAGTAACTCCTCCAAGAGCAAGCAGCCAGAAAGGAGAGAGGAGATGGAGAGCCAGTTTCCATCCCTCCAAAGCCATGTTCTTCCCACTACACACTCGCAGAGAGACCCCCGACACATGACCACTGCACAGGGTAGGTGGAGGCCACCCTACAGGGGAGGGGTGTGCACGGAGCTCTTCCTTCCTCTGCTGCCCAAATCCTCCTTCCTGACCAGACTCCTGGCCAGAGGCAGCACACTTTGCTCCACATAGCGTCTTGTGTGGAGCCACTGGACACCCCCACCCGGGTCCCCTCCCATTCTACTCAGCAGGCCATGCCCCACCCCCTCTCCCACAGATACAAGCACAGACGCTGCACAGAGAAACTGAACCAGAACCCTTCTAGACGTAGGGACACCAAGCCCAAATGATGGGCTCCGGTGCAGGGCTGAAAACAGGACTGACTGAAAATCGGTCCCCTTTCTCACACCAGCACCCAGAATGTGTAACCTCCCTTGCACATTAGAGCTTAATACAACACTCAAAGACTGTGTTCCAGATAAGCTGGAGGAAATCTCCCGGAAAGTAGAAGGGCAACGATGAGGTGATGCTAGGTCAGTCCAAGGAGGTTCATGACCAAGTTACCTGTCGAGTCAAGAAAGAAAAGGGAGGCTGCTCCCACGTGTGAGGGACCTGGGAGTCCTCCCTCCCATCCACAAAACAAGAGAAAAGCTGAGCAAAAGCTGAAAATCAATAACTCCCTAGGGATTTTTAGGGCAGTGGAACTGTTTTGTAGGCTACTGTAATGGTAAACACATGTTATATATTTGGCTGTACCCACAAAATAGAAAAGACAAAGTTTTATATATAATATAAACTGCAGGCTCAAATTAATAACGATGCATTGGGATTGGTTCATCAGTTATAACAGGGTGCCACACTAATGTGAGATGCTAATAAAAGAAGAAACAATGGAGGGGGGAGGAGAAAGGCCAGAGCTAGGGAGTGTATGTGAACACTCTGTACCTTCCAGGCTTTTCTGTAAGCCTAAAGCTGCTCATCAACCAACCAATCAATCAACCAATCAACCAATCCTCTAGTAATTTAAGGAGAGGGGAGGAAGACTGGGAGGGACCAGAGCGCACAAGGAGGAAGAAACCGGGCAAGAAATAACACAAGAAAGTCTTGCAGACCTGAAGGACGTGAGCAGCGGCACAGAAGGGCCACACGCATGCAGCACAAGGAACAGAGACCAGGCCGGGAGGTGTCCCGGTGAGGTTTCAGAACACTGGGCAGAGGAGAAGGAGACCCTGCAAGCTTCTAGACACTGGACACACAGGTTCGTACGTTCAGGAATTAGAATAACCCTGGGTCCTCACTCCCAACACTGGGTACCCTATGGAGTCATGCCTTCAAAATTCGGAGGGAAAGAGTTTTCCGCCTGGAATTCTAGACGCAGCGGGTGAAGCACGAAGGTGGAATGAGGCCCGGTGATGTCAGTGGGTCACTGAAGGCCTCAAGGTCATACATACTCAGTACACACACACCACACCCACACACCCCACACTACCCACCCTCCCACACACCACCCCTCCCACTGCACACTACACCCCCCCCACACACACACACACAAACCACATGCTATACCACCCCCGCACCTGCCTCAGTCAGAGCTCTGGCGGTCTCTGCCCAACCCTAAGATCTGTCCCCCACCAGCACCAGCTCCCTGAACTTCTCAGGCATAAACAGGTTGGGAGTGGGGGGATCTTCAGTATGAAAAGAGCTCTTCCCAGGGACATACACAGATGCACCCATTTGGGACCGTCCATCAAAACTGCACCCTCTGTGTGCCCATCATGTGTTATGCGCCAGGCTTCTAACAGGTGACCCACATCATGCCCCAAGCAGTGGGAACCAGGGTTGCTGGTTTTCCCTCCTACACCTGAGAGACCATCTCCTGGGCGGGCCGCTGCAGGACAGATGGCACAACCAGGGAGGGTAGACGGCCACGCTCCAAGTATGGGTGCACATCTTCATGCTCTCATGGTAAGCAGGGGCAGGGAGAGGGTGGGAAGAGTGCAGGGAGAAGAGAGAGACTAAGAGACACAGACTGAAGACACAGGTCAGAGCATGTGTCACATGGGGGTGGAAGGGGAAGGAGGGGAGGTTTACTAGAAAAAATGCACCAGCTTGCATGGACATCCTCACACCCCTACTTCCTCAAGCTAACGCCTGACACTCAACTCTTGAAAGGTCAAGCCCTAGTCACTTTCCCCAAACCTAGACTAGGCCCTGTGCAGCACAGGAAGATCCTGGGATGTGGGGCAAAAGAGTAGTGTCTGGACCTACCCCAGCCCACTAGGCTCTGGGTAACTGGAATGGGCAGGCACACACATCCTTGCTAGGGCATAAAGGTCAGGGGCCCTCACAGTCCCAGCTGCTCCCTCCCCAAGTCACAGCATTAACAGTTGCTATCTGGGTGGGGGGCAGCTACGGGGAACAAGGACTGTCTACATCATAGAATATTAATATTTTTGTCCAGTTTGAATTTTTTATAAGGAGCATACATTCTGTCCTAATAGGGAAAAGAGACAGGTAAACGCCCACTCTTATCTCCTCAGTTGCTTGGGTCACAGAATAGGCTGCTGGCCCCTCTGTCCCACCCCCTCAGCTGAAGGGAGGAAGCATCTTAGCCCATGATGACAGTTGGTGTCCTCTGCTCAAAGGATCCTTGCCTCCTGCCCTTCTCCACCCCCCCATAACCCCCATAAGGTCACCTCTGTTTCTCTGCCTCTCCTGCTCTTCCCCAGGGAATTTGGGTCTGCTGGTCTGCCTGTCTCTCTCTCTCTCTGACCTGCTTTTCAGGAAGGCCAGAGTGAGGAGAAAAGACTTTCCTTACCATTCTCTGAGACTTCCCTATCAGAGCAGAGTTAGGCTTTGAATGGCAACTGGGCCCCAGCCATTGTCACCCACCTACCTCCCTACCAGTCCAGGGCAGCACTGCACTGGACCCTGCTAGGCACCTTGGGTGCCCTGGGACTCAAGAGCAGGCCTTCTCCCAGGAGTATGATCCACACAGGCAAGGCCACACAAACACCAGCTCCCTGACAAAGGTGATATCCCTCCCCTCATCCCCTGCTCCTGCTTCCTCCTGCCTGTTCAGACGGCCCCCTAAGAGATGCCGGACCTGCCAGGCCCTGTGGCACACAGTCCCCTGCAGGCTAGAAGGCCACAGACATTGCTGGCGGGGGCTGATGATTCCTCCATGAAGCAATGGAGACTTTCTCTGTACAGAGCCCCACACGCAGCAGATCCCAGAGCAAAGAGGCACTGGGCATCCCATCCACACAGACTGGGGCTCCCACAGAGAACGTGACGGCAGGGTCCTACGGCCCAGCCCAAGTCCCACTTCCTCTAGGAAGACCTCATAGCCGCAGCATCCTGGCCTAGCCAGATCCCTCCTCTTTCTGACCAGGCACACGCACTCTGAACCAAATTCACTCCACAACCAGACCAGACCACAACTCTGCTCCACGGCTAGCAGGTACTGTCGTTTCCTGGGTGCCTGGGGTCTCCCTAGTGGGGCTGGGTTCCCTGCAGATGCTTACTGAGTAGCCCCCAGGTACGGAGTTACAAAGGAAATGAACGGTGCACGGCAGTAAATCTCAAGATGCTACAAGGCCTCCATGGGTCCCTGCCTGCGCTCCCTCTCGCTTCCCTCTCGCTCTGCCCACTCCCTGCTTGGATGCCTGTGGCGGCAAAGCCTGGTGACTAAGAGCTGGGCTCTGCATCCTCAGTGCACACCTGGGCCCCCTCACTTACCAGGTTACTTCCCTAACCCTCTGCTTCCTCAGCCTTCCAGTGGGAGACCCTCCTCTCCGGGCCGCCAGTCAGCATGAAGCCAAGGCTTCCCATGTACTCTCAGATGGTGTGACAGTCATGGCAGGTGGGGCACCTGAACGCACCAAGGCCCAGGCAGCATGCACTCAGGAGACAAGGGTTTGGCAGAGAGGATCACTGTCTGGGACCTGCCCCAGGCATGCTGGCAGCCATGCCATGGAGGCCAAGGGCATCAGAGAGGTTCCATTTCCACACAGCTTCCAGGAGAGGCCTGCCCTGCCACAGGCCACATGTGAGAGACGGGAAGACATGTGATGGGGTCAGAGAGCCGGCAGAGCCAGCCTTCTGGCACCCCCCATCCACACCGATAGTTACCCCTTTACTATCCACACTGTCCAGGAGGCCAGGCCCATTACCCCCGTTCTGGGCTTG